AATGGGTGTTGGGGGGTTGTCTTGGATGACACGCCTCTTCAACATTGCGTGAAAGTCTGGGAAAGTGCCAAAAGAGTGTCAGACCGGGGTGGTGGTACCCCTCTTCAAAAAGGGGGACCAGAGAGTGTGTGCCAATTACAGGGGTATCACACTACTCAGCCTCCCGGGTAAAGTCTACTCCAAGGTGCTGGAAAGGAGGGTTTGGCCGATAGTTGAACCAAGGATTGAAGAGGAACAATGCGGTTTTCATCCTGGTTGTGGAACAACGGACCAGCTCTTTACTCTTTCCAGGATCATAGAGGGGGCTTGGGAGTATGCTCATCCAGTCTACATGTGTTTTGTGGACTTGGAGAAGGCGTATGACCGGGTCCCCGAGAGAAACTGTGGGAGCTGCTGCGGGAGTACGGGGTGAGGGGGTCCTTGCTTGGGGGCATCCAATCCTTGTACGCCCAAAGCGAGAGCTGTGTTCGGGTGCTCGGCAGTAAGTCGAAGGCGTTTCCGGTGGGGGTTGGCCTTCGCCAGGGCTGCGCCTTGTCACCAATCTTGTTTGTGGTTTTCATGGACAGGATATCGAGCCATAGTCGGGGGGAGGAGGGTCTACAGTTCGGGGGGGCTGCGGATCTCATCGCTGCTTTTTGCAGATGATCTGTGATCTTCTGTCTGTGACCTCCAACTCTCACTGGAGCGTTTAGCAGTTGAGTGTGAAGCGTTCGGGATGAGGATTAGCACCTCTAAATCTGAGGCCATGGTTCTCAGCAGGAAACCGATGGATTGCCTACTCCAGGTAGGGAATGTGTCCTTACCCCAAGTGAAGGAGTTCAAGTACCTCGGGGTCTTGTTCACGAGTGAGGGGAAGATGGAGTGTGAGTTTGGCCGGAGAATGGCTTTACCGCACCGTTGTGACGAAAAGAGAGCTGAGCCGGAAGGCACTCTATCTCTAGAAGAGCTTCTATCTCTAGATAGAAGCTCTCTATCTACCGGTCAATCTTCGTTCCTACCCTCACCTATGGTCATGAAGGATGGGTCATGACCAAAAGAACTAGGTCACGGGTACAAGTGGCCGAAATGGGTTTCCTCAGGAGAGTGGCTGGCGTCTCCCTTAGGGATAGGGTGAGAAGCTCAGCCATTCGCGAGGAGCTCGGAGTAGAGCCGCTGCTCCTTTGTGTCGAAAAGAGCCAGTTGAGGTGGTTTGGGGATCTGGTGAGGATGCCCCCTTGGCGCCTCCCTAGGGAGGTGTTCCAGGCACGGCCAGCTTGGAAGAGGCCCCGGGGAAGACCCAGAACTAGGTGGAGAGATTATGTCTCTGCACTGGCCTGGGAACGCCTTGGGATCCCCCAGTCAGAGCTGGTAGATGTGGCCCGGGAAAGGGAAGTTTGGGGTCCCCTGTTGGAGGTGTTGCTCCCTCGACCCGACCCCCGGATAAGCGGTTGAAAATGGATGGATGGATGGTTCCCGCGCACTTGCCTCGAAAGCGGCTGCACATTAACACCAAAATGATTTGTCCAGCTCGCTGAGCGGTCTGTTTTGGTGAAATTGTTGTTAATAACGGTTGTAGTTGGTTGTCAACATCACTACGGTTATAGAGAGATGTCGTTTGTGTTTTAACAACGTTTCGCTGACGTGCTATTGAACTGTGAAGTCTGAATCTGTGAATATCTTGCTAACTTTACCGAACTGGGCAGCAGCATCATATTGTGGCAGCACAGCACTCACACAGCGATGGTCTTCATGGCACGCTGCTCTCCTCCACAACGTGACAAGAGTCACGCGTGGTCCTGTTGAAAAGAGAAGTGCTGCCAGTGGGCGGGAAGGCGCACACAACCCACAAATGACACGCGTAACTTCTGCGACATCACCGTCTACGCTCATCGGCATTTCGGCCATTTTTTATAACAGTCTGTATTGTCGTAGTCGGACTACAAAGGAGTACCAGACGATGACAGCTGTCTGGAGGGGCGGGGTTAGCTCAGCTGCATGGGGGAGAGCGGGGGAGTGGTTCAGCGGACGGTGCTGGTAGTTGAGGAGAAAGCAGGTGGAAATAATCTGCACTGATTGTCTCTGGTAAAAACAGTGAGCAGGATCCAGATCGGGGAACGTGAGCCGAGCAGAGCTGAGCACGAGAGTGGAGCACGAGAGCGGAGCTGTGCTGTGCTGTGCTGTGCAGAGCTGAGCAGAGCAGGACAGAGCGGAGCCGGGCAACAGCACGACGAGCGGCCTCATTCCTGCTCACTGACCCCTTGAAAAATAAAGACTTATTGCTCTCAACGTGTGTCCGTGCGTCCTTACGGAACCCGCCGGTGGTAGCGCTATCACGGCCACAACAGCCTCCTGCTGAGAAAGTGTTTTAATGAAAACTCTTTACAGAAAACAGATTTAGAATAAGCCAGCAACACAGCGTTTTCATTGGATCAATTCTCCGTCCCTAAAATGAGTCCATTAAAGAGATTTGCATCGCGTATTTGCTGCTGCTCGATACTTTTGAAGTCATTGAACGTTCTGCGTTCTCGCATCAAAGAGTCTATAGGCTGCTTAATACTAACAAACTAACAACATGGATGCATGATCAAACTAACGTAGAACAGATATGACATCTAGTGTGAGCGTTGGGAAGCGTTTTTTTGCTGTCACCGACCAAACAAGCCAATGCAATGATAGAAATGAGACTAAGGGACCAGACAGATCTCTTGAACATAATAATATATTTATGTATTTTATCCATATTGATTCTAAAAATCTATAAAACTATAGAACTCTAAAAGTTTGCGCCCTGATGGATTTCAATGGTCCATTTTGAAATAGATGATTCCCTGTAAGCCTGATTATTCTAAGGAAAGGTACCGTTGGACAAACACAGGAGGGGAAGGAATGGGGGAGGTCCTGTTATCAAATCGTTGTGTCCTAGTGTTTGAGGGCTTTTCTTTATGAAACCTGTTAGGGGTTTAAGTGCACACCTAGTGGTAGAAATTATAATACATGTAGTAATGCTTAGTGTTAGAATTGTAGTTTGTGTGATGTTAGATATTAGTTATTACATTTATATAATTACTGTACACATTAACATTCTGTCATGATGTAATATTAAAACCTGGGGACGAATGCTAATTGCTGTCCTTCATGGATTTCTCCTAATTTTCTCCCCAAAGAGGAGTTTTTGGGGAGTTTTTTTTCCGTCACACCGTACCAAACTTGATGGGTTTGTTTTATTTTGTCTGTGTCTTGTCATTTCCTTTTTTATTTTTGTTTCAGGTAACTTACCCTGCCTCATGTGTCACCAGTCTGATTTTCTTCCCTGATTCCCGATTGTGTCCACCTGTTCCCCATTCCCTTCCATGTGTACTAATAGTCTGCATCTCCCTTTGTCCTGTGCCAGTGTGTTCGTTTCCGTCCTTGGGTTCATGCATCCGCTCCAGCCTCGCCATAGTTTTTCAAGCCTCGAGAACCATGCCATTGTGTTCTGCTCCATTGTTTTTCCTCCAAGAGAGTGATTTTGATTTTGTGAAGTTTTGTACCATAGGTTTTGTTTAATGGTTAATGTTTGCATAGTCCTTTGTTTCCTCCGTAAGGAGTGAATTTTGTTTTAATAGTCTTTTATAGTGTCTCCAGTTTTAAGGAGTGTTTTTTGTTAAGTGATGTTGCCTCCGTCGAAAGAGTGCTTACCCGGTATTTTGATAAAGTTAAAGGCCTTTTTATAGACACACTTCCTAAATGATTCAGTGGGACAAGTGTGATCTAGATCATTTGCATAGCTTGTATTTATTTTCCCTGCCTTGGAGAGATCCAGTCTTACTAATAAAGACTACAAATCCCATAAAACCCTGCAACTATGTCCAGTGTTCTGCCGGGTCGTGACATTTTTGCCTGTCAAGTAGTGAATAAGCAAAGGATGTACCACAGCCCTGACATTCTGATTTCTGAAAGAAACATTTTAAACGACCTCTCTTGTGAGTAAAGAGCCTGAAATACGTTTAGATCAGAGAGTAAACATGATTAAATAAATACCCTCAGTTGTAAACAGCCATGTGGCAATAGAGCGCTGTCCCATTCCCATTTACACCTTTTAAAGCCCTCACAGACTCTCACACTTAGGTGACGGTAAGAGCTCCGGGTTTTGCGTTTATGGGGGACATTGGGATTGGTACTTTAAATGTAGTTTGCAATGCATGTTTTAACGTCAGCTCAAGACTTAGAAACACTTGTACATGCCTTTATAACTAGTAGGCTAGACTATTGTAATGGTCTCCTTGCAGGTCTTCCAAAAAAAACTGTCAGGCAGTTCCAGCTTGTTCAGAACGCTGCTGCTTGAGTTCTAACAAAGACCAAATAATGTGAGCACATTACACCAATTCTTAAATCCTTACATTGGCTCCCAGTATGTCAGAGAATTAATTTCAAAATCCTACTGCTCACATATAGATCACTACATGGTTTAGGGCCAAAATATATCACTGATATGCTTCCACTACATAAGCCTTCAAGATCACTAAGATCTTCTGACACCAATCTGTTAGTGATTCCCAGAGTAAATACAAATCATGGGAAAGCATCATTTAGTTACTACGCAACAAACAGCTGGAATAAACTTCCTGAAGATTTAAGACTTGCCCCAACTCTGATCACGTTTAAAACAAGACTGAAAACTTTTATGTTCAGCTTTGTCTTCTGCTAAATTTTACCTACATTGCACTTTTAACCTCTGCCTTTAATTAAACAATTTAAATAAGATTTTAATTTATAATTTTATTTGCTGTTTTTAATAGTCTTTTTTTCCCCTGCATTTTATTTCACTTTATTGTATGAAATGTTATGATGTGAAGCACTTTGAGTCTGCCTTGTGTATGAAAAGCGCTATACAAATAAAATTGCCTTGCCTTGCCTTGCCTAAATCATTGCAATTAAATTAATCGAGATGGTTAATCTGGTGTAATACCTCTTCCTGTCCTTAGAGGCCGCTCTCCTCCCTCGGTACGTGGATGCAGCGGCATGCAGCGGCAGTCCGGTCGGAGGCAGCAGAGCGACGGGAACTTCAGCAGCTCTGCTCCGTATATCTCCACCCAGCCTGCGTCTGAGGGACTCATTCATCTCCGTCTGAGCGGCTGCTCGGTCCGACTGCATCCGGCCCCCCCCGCCTCCGTCTGTCCATCCAGCTGTTTTATATCCCCTCCATTCATCCAGCGGCGCGTCCGCATCTGCGCCCGGGAAGGACAGACGCATCAATTGGAAAACCGCAGACCTGGCAACTTTTCTCTCCGAATTGATCAGCGTTTGATCACCGGGAGAGTCTTCCTCATTCAGCGGTCGCCCGGTGAGTCTCTCTGTCGTTGTCTGCGCGTAAGACGCGTCCCCTCTGGACACGGTGCCGTATCCCTGTGGTGTGGGAACGATCCAACCTGCTGGCAGTATCCATTTCTCTCACTGCATAACAATATATTTATATCTGTTGATTTCTAAATATGTCACAAACGACAGTTGTTCAGTTACCTTTGTTTTTAAAATATCTCAGGTGAACAATTATGTAGAATAAGTATTTTCAGTCGTTCTCTTTTATCAGTTTTCTGTGATGCAATCACCAAAGTGAAACTCCACGTTGAGTTTTTCTGACCCTGGTGCTCGACCCCCCCTCCACCGTGCCCCTCCAGTTTCGAGGACATAATTGGTATTCACACTGACTGTTGCGTAATAGCCCGCATCTCAATAGGATTTATGGTCAGCCGAAACATCCTACACCAGTGCTTGCCAAACCGGGGTGCCGAGGACTCCCGGACTCCACAAGGATGTTGTAGCTGGGATACCAACTAAAATGAGGATGGAGGGAAGAAAGACTTCAATTTCCTTCGAAACAACAAGTTACATCCATATGAAAGATACAACTTTCATATTGGCTCCAATGAAGGGAAATGTTAATAACTTGATAAGGACATTTACTACATGGTTTTGCTATCATGGAACAATGTATCTGAACTTTGATTGAATGCAAATGCAAATTCATTTGCAGGAACTCATCCGGTTACCTAAAACTACACTTTCACTGTTCCACTTCTGTTATTTAACTTGAGTAAAACTTTCTTCTTCAACTTGCATCAAGGAATATTCTAAATTGTTGTATTTCTACAGCTACTTAATTAAACGATTGGAATACATCTCAAAATGCGGGTGACTCATAGAAAGGCTTGTTTTCTTCCTATCGATGGCAGAGAAGGAATACATCTTTTCAGGCAGGAGTGCTTGTGATGACCAAGTTGGACCAAATTGGTCCAAAGGGTTTCAGCGTGAGGGCGCTCTGACAGAGACCGCTCACCTCTGGATGAAGACACGGGCGGTGAGTCCGGTGGCAGTGCAGCAGTTTACTGCGTACCCGCTGATGACAGACCTGTGGCCTGCAGGCTTTCTATAGCTCGTGGTGGAGCATGTTCTCCTCCCATGCTTTGGAGCTCGGCCTGTAATCAGCCTGAACCACAGGGGCAGCACCACCCAGATTTATTTCTCAGGGTAAAAATGAGGGAAAACGCCAGCTGGGCACACAGCGGAATAAAACAAATGTGTCCAGTTTGACAGTTTGGATGGGGTCCCTGTAGAGCAGAGTGTGTCAAAAAAAGAAACATAATAGACAGGAGGCATAAGGTTAATTGATAATCCAGGGTGCGGAATTCGAACCATTGATTGAATGCATTTTCACTTTCAGTCTAAAAAGCAGCATCAGTTCCTTTTCAGTCATACAGCAAGTTATTTGGCACGACTTATCCTCAGTTTGTACCGCATCAGTGGTCGCACATTTCTGCCCTGGATTTTATATAGCTGGTCCATAGTTATTTTTAGATTTGAGTGTGTCACTGTGACGATATGTGTAGGTGTGCATGTATTGTTTTGTAGACCTTTTCAAATTCTTACTACAGTTTGTCTTTTGCAATATTGTGACTCATTTCAATAAATGTAGAGAGACTACTGAGGTGTGTGTGCAAGAGAGAGAGAGAGAGAGAGAGAGAGAGAGAGAGAGAGAGAGAGAGAGAGAGAGAGAGAGAGAGAGAGAGAGAGAGAGAGAGAGAGAGAGAGAGAGAGAGAGAGAGAGAGAGAGAGAGAGAGAGAGAGAGAGAGAGGGAGGGTGGTGGGTGGAGTGGGCGGATGCCATAAATGGCAAAATGTGAAGAAGAAGGAGCGTGTCGGTGGGGCGACACTGCTTGTGCGTGTATTCCTCTTCCTCCCCTCTCTCGCTGGTGGTTTCCTGCTGCTCCGCGGTAGAAGGAGGGGAACAGATGCTTTTGTGCGTGTGTGTGTGTGTGTGTATCTGTTGTACAAGCTGTTTGTGTAGATTTCTTCTATTCCGTTCATATTCTTACATCTTACACAATCTATTCCAAACAATGACTGAAGACATTCCTTCTGCCTTTGTTCTTTGTCTCTTTAGGGCGAGTCAACCTCATACTTCATCCTTTTGTCGCATTGCTCGTGTGCTTCACCCTTGTGGATGTCCGGGCAAATGATGAGAAAACACCGTACAGCGACCCACTCATTTTGGAGCCAACATTAGAGTCAGGCAGAAATTGGCTAAGACGTGGGAGTGGTGGAGGAACCAACAGAAAAATAGACCACTCCTAAGCTGAAGAATTTTCTCTTTTTGTAACGAATGGGTCAACATTTAGGGAAATGTGTTCTTTTCCATTCCTTGGCGAGTATAAGATGAGATAAAACGACTCTCATGCTGGACTACGAGCCAACTAAGTTGGAACAAACTGCAGCTTCTTCGATGTTTCTAGCCACGACGAGATGGCTTTGTCTCTTGTCGGTTTGGGCCAAAAATTACCTCAAATGTAACAGGCACAGTTGTTGCTCTCCTGTCGATGGCCTTAAGCAAAGTAGTCCCGGAAAAAGCTAATTTTCAGGCTCGTCCCTGCATTCATTACACAGGCTTTAATGTTCTACTCTGATTGGCTTATGTGAGAAATGTAGTCCTCAAGCCGCGGACGGTATATTCTAGTGAACCTTCATGTGACATGAATGGATTTTATCTTTGTTATTTACTTGTCGTAGTTGTGGCCTACACTGCACCGTTGACAACTGATTTGCCTGAGGCGGAAAAAAGTGAATCACAATCTAAAAAAGGCTTAGAAACCTCGAACTAAGCTAGCAAGCCAGAACAGAATGTTCCTGTTGTCATTCTTAGTACCATGAGAACATCCTTGGGGTTTGGCGCTCTGTTTTGACTATGTTGTCTGGTTGGCAGAATCCACATTAATCTTGATAAAAAAGAACGAAATTCAAAAAAAACGCTGACGGCTGCCACGATGGCCCCTGGTGAGAGAGAGAGAGACGCAGTGATGGATGATCAACCTGCGCTTGAGGTACACTGCCAAACCATACATGGGCATGTGTGTGGTGGTGTAAAAAAATGGAAATCGTTGGCTTAAATAAGTGCGAGCTGCAGAGGATGAGGAAACAAAGTGCTGGAAGTTTGCCACTTCAAGCAGTGTGAAGCTGGCTGACATGTCTCTGGCACACACAAACACAAACACACTTCTCAGCTTTGATGTAATCAGGGAGGGTGCGCTGAACGTCTGTTTTCAGTTGTTTTCTCTCATTGTTCTTACTGTATCTCATTTCAACCAACGGAGACTAACACGGATGAGGGAAGAGATTTTCACGACAGCCACCGATGATCATTCCTAAAACACGCTGCATTATACATCTTTTCTTCAAATATCTTGATATATGTCTTTTGATACTTTTGTAACACAGATACAATTGAAAAAATGAGCAATTACTGTTAGCTTTGCATTGCCAGACAAGACAAACTGAAAGACGTCAATATGTTTTATGATAAAAAATAAATATATAATTAAATTGGGTGATAAGTTAGCAAATAGAAACCTAGATTCTGAACTTTCTGGCAGAAGCAATCTGTATCGTGGCTGTATCGCCTGAACATTCAGTAAACAGCGCTAACCTTTAACTCCAAATACAATAAGACTTCTGTCCCAACTGGCAACCATAACAACTCTCGGCATGAAACCACTACACGACCAAGTGTGTTTTGTGTTTTCTTCTAAGTAATAGTAAAGCACAAGTTATTCATTACCATGGGGTTTTCCCTGCGTTTCGGCTGCATTATGTACGTGTCAGGTTGACAGGCGTGTTAACGTAATGTGCTGGTCAGGATTTTCTGTGAGTCTGCAGCACAGAACAGTTCCTGAGGAGGTTTACTTCTGCTGCGGTTCAAATCCATAACCCTTCATTTTGCAAACACGTTTCCCCATCAAGGGAGTGCTGCTCCCACCACTGAATACATCCACAACACTCACAAGCCCTCTGTTTGTGTTGTTGCGTTATCTCCGTCAGACCTGCTGCTAATTGGACACGCCCCATTCTGCAGCCACGCTATCCCAGCATTCTTTAGGAGTCATTCACAGTTAGATGTCATTCAGATTCTAGTTGTTGTCAAGATATTTTGGCCAAAACGGTGTAAGTTGGATGAAAAAGTGTGTTTGAGGCAGAGGTTTAGAATCAATTACCCGGGGAGATAACGTCTACTGTTTTCATACTAAACAGACCTGCGCTTGGTTGTTTTAATGGGCTGCAGTCGTGTCTCTCTTTGGAATGACTTCAGCGCATAGCGTGCGTTATTCTACACTCCCCTGCTCTCTCTGTGGAAAAATATCCAAACAAGGATTTATGAACCACTTAGTTCACATAAATACGAACAGAAAATGTAACAAACATGACTAACTCAACGTTTAGTGCAGTCAAATAAGGGCTGAATAAATATAAGGACAATGGTAACAATACAATTTTCAGATACCAACTACATTACCGTACAAAATAAACAGGCACAGAATTATATTAGTGGTCATTTTGTGTTCATTCTTGATTTATTTAATTAGTCTGCTTGAAAATGACTATTCAAACAGGTTGTTATCATTATTTCAATGTGAAATGATATGCAATCAGCCCTCACGTGTACAAGACACGATAGATTTATAAAAGGTACCATGAATGTCTCTTCTTCTCAGTTGAGAATTACGTTTTAAAAAGTAGACACGTTTCCCTTAGAAGCATACTTTAACTTACATATTTAAGGCCACAGTTAAGTTTGCTGCAAGCCGCATATGGACCAAACTAATTTGTATGACACGAAATGTAACTATGGACTCTTTTCAGTCCAGTCATTCAAAGCATGATGCCTCTGCTAATGAAAGTCCTCCATTCGGACGACATTGAGAAATCACTGTATGACTTTTATGAATGGTGGTGGGAGCTAAAAGTAGCAATACTGACAGAAAGGAAAATACATGTATAACATCTAATGCCATAGAACTGGGCCTAAGAATGAAAATAACAAATGCATTGTGACATTCAACCGATCCATCATGTTTCCTCAGACGCTGCGAGGATGGCTGGCTGACCTCGGAGCTCACCGATTGGTCCGTTGATCTTTGCTGGCCCCAGCTGCCGTCATGGCCAAAAGCCCAGAGGTGAAGCTGGCCGTCTTTGGCAGAGCAGGGGTGGGCAAGTCAGGTAAACATCTGGATTAAGTGTTCAAATAAATTGGAGTTTGTTAACGTCGTAATCTCAAAAGTCTCTAAATACGACAATTTGTCTTTGACTGAAAACTTTCACGGTTTCAAAGTGGTACTATTTCCAGATACAACATGTGATAGACATACACTTTACCTTTGGGGAACTGCAAGTTTCATGGTGTGCTTTACCCATTTCAGCCTCGATGCTTTCCTCAACCATCATGTCAGTTTTTTTTTTATACCTGCCATGATTTGTCCTCATGCTTTTGTTTGCGCAGTCAGTCTTACCGCGGGAGGTTGTTTGCGTTCTGGCTGAAAACACTCTCTACCCAACAGATTAGTCCGTTGAGTCATCATCATTTGGTTTCGGCATTCCTCTCCAAGCTACGTTACCTCGGCCGGGGCCCTTTATGTTTTCTCCGGTAGCTAACTCGATAACACGGACCATATGTTTCCTGCTGGCGGCAAATCAAGAAGGATGGCCTCGGCAAAGCAATCAGCTGTTGGAAAACATACTTTTGATATCTCCGCCATATTGAATGAGGACATTAAAATGCCTGAGGAGGTCAACTCAAGTACTGTACTGCCAAGTATAACGACTGCAGAGTTCATAATCTGTGTGGCTGGAAACAGTAATGCCAAACATGTCTGATGTGAGACAGTGAAGATCCCCGGACTGAAAAGCGCACCGTTGGTCCTTAGCGTCTCCTCCTCACAATGAATCCCGTCTTTCAACTTGATCCGTTGTCAGCTGCCCTGATCTTTCACCACCGCTGCCATTTATTATTTTTCTTCCCGCTGTTTTATCTGTGATTTCCTGATGTGTGGCCGCTAACCTCGTGTTCTTCAGTTTACAATACTAAAAGTGATTGAAAAGGTTATTGTTCAGGCTTATAGCACTGCAAAGCAGAGCATGTTTGCCAAATAAATTTGCTATTTGCCTGCCGGAAAGTGGCCTTCAATACCAACTCTCTTTTCACGTGAATTCATGCTGGCCTGCAGTTACCCGATCCTTTCCAGTCAACCCATACTCTTTTTAATGCGCAAGAACAGCCACACAGCAGGATGGTAGTCAGTGTTGACACATCTGACGCCACATGTAGCCCTGGGGAACCCTTCAACAATGAACGGCCCTAATCTAAACATAGTCCCCCAGTGCAAGCCCAAGGATGCTAATGAATCACCCTTCCCTCCAATGGGTCGGTCCAAACACCCCGACTTCATGCACAATATAAAAAAAATGTTTTGAACTTTCTGGTATGTTGGAGCGAGTGCTGTTCTTTGGTTAATGCATCTTCATTTGTTGTACTTTCCCTTCCTGCTATATACACAGTAACATGCCTATTATCTAAACAGAGGACCACAGTTCAACCTGCCACTAACGTGTCCAAGAGCGAGACACAACATTCCTGCCATTTTAACTGTGTATGTGTTAGATATTCCTCCCGTGATAACCAAATTACATGAGATATGATAGAGCTAGAAGGTGCTGAGAGGACTTGTTGAGTTAGTTGGACTTATTTGTGCTTTGGTGGTGATCATTCAGATCCAGAAGCAGTTTGCTCTCCTGCTGGGTGGAAAGAATGTGTTCCTAACAAGCAGGAGCAGACTTGCTGGGTGCCTTGGCGTTGTCGGGAGTTAGCTGAGCCCTTCGTGATGGTCTGACCTGGACTCCTGCAGAGCCATCCAGGCACAATAAAAGAGCAGAGTGCATTAACTCAAGGTGGTTGTTCGGGCACTCTGTAGCCTTTTTGTTTATTGACTCAGCAGAAGGAAACTAAATCTGTTTGAATTTGTCCAATTTCTGTACCAACTTGGTCTCTGCTAAACATACAGGAAGCAAATGCATGCCAATAGTTAAAACAGCTGCATTGACTACATCTGTAATACCTTTATTTTAATCTTATTGACGAGAGATCCAGACTCAATATCTGTGCTTGGAGCTTCTCTTTACCGCTAAGGTTTTCTGCACACAAAATATTAAGTTTTGAGATGAGGCGGCATTTTGTTCAATAACTAGCTATACAGTATTTCTTTCCCAGTAATGGTTCAAATAAGTGCAATAAGTGCAATGTGAAAGCTCATTTCATCGTTAATATAAATAAATGACATACTAATTATTGGCCAACCCAACAACTCCCCTCAGCTCTTTTCATCATTTTTCAGCCAAAAATTGCTCATAACGTTACTTTGTTCACCCTCACCGGCTTTGTTTTGCACACTACCAATCCAGCATCAAGCAGCAAATAGACACCGTTGGTGACTAACCAATGAATGACATTAGAGGAGCATTTAGCAGCTTAAGAGTCAGATATTTCCCATAAGAGTTGGAGGTTGACCGAGACACAACTACTGAATGCAGATGTTGCATTCAACAAGATACCTCATTGCCTGCAACTGAACAAACAACCATAACTTGCAAAAACTCACATATCCTTGAAGGTTAACAAATGGCAATGCCTTCCTCGGAACATTTTTGCAATCTTTTAATAAAGTACAAAAAAATGAATCACAATAAAAACATCTTAGTCACTACCTGACTTCTATCAGATGGTGTAAAGAACTCCCCCAGCTCTTTATTGTTGTGAAAACTCTGGCACAGCACACACTCAAATATAGAGAGGGTTGGACGTCCTTTTGGGAAATTAACTTCATGGAGTGCAAAGCGCCAGCTCGTAAAACATCTCGTCTCGCCGCTCCGCAAATATTCCGCCTCCTCCCCTTGGCGTGTCTGACGGCCAGAAAGCAGAACAATAACAACGGGGTGGGCCAACATGTCTGGAAATACTACAGTCTACCACCTTCAACGCAGAGAAGGGACCATAACTCAGCCTAATGTTTGCGTCTTCCTGGAGCATGATGTAAACAGCCATTCAGAGGGCAGGCAGACAGGCAAAGGCACAAAAACAAACGGCCCTGGACGAACTGACAGCTACTGTGCTGGACTAAAGTGTGTTTCACGGTTTAGTCAACATTTTGGATGATTGGCGCGCTCACCACTTTTCACTGAACACATGTCAAACAGAGTCAGCTGATAGTGGAAAAGAAATAGAAGCGAACCGTTTCTGAAGCTAGACTAACACATTTATTATCATTGATATAATATTAGATTATTAGACGAAAGATTATCTGGATAATGGTGTGTGATGTAATATACCAAGGTTTCTTGTAAATGTTTTTTTTTTAAAATGCCTTTATCTCTGGAGGGATTGACATTGCACAAATCGTGCCCAAGACGTGCAGATAGTTTCCCTTGTTTCAATAATTTACATTCGCATAATTGTCTTAGGAACTCTAATTCGTGTTAATGTGATACAGACAATAAAGAAGCCATTATACAAGATAACAGCAGGTTTTTCAATGTTTTTTTACGATGTCAAAGCTCATGTTGAGGACTTTCAAATAGGTTTCCTCTTGAAATATGGCACGGACCATCTTTTACACTCAAATTACTATTGCAGGGATCCCACTGCTTTTTTAATCAGCTTCCTGCAATGCCTGCTGGAGGAAATGAAAGTCCTGGAAAGTAAATCAAATAACATCAGGGCTGGCTGTGCGCGGATAGTCGCGCTGCACCACCGGCCAATTACCAGGATGCAGAGGCTCGGGGGCCGACACTCGTGCTGCTGCACATCTCGGGCCTTTGACAGCCGAGAGAGAGCAGCTGAGAAGTCGACTGGCTGTTTTGACTCCCGGTGATAACATTGTGCGTGTCGGACCGGGTGAACCGCCGAAAGCTATGACTCAGCGAATGCATTATGCTGCTGCATAAGTGCTTTTATCAGCAAGCCAGAGGCAAATTTGACTCTTTAAGATAAGAGATCCCAAAATGTTCATGAGTGGCTTTCAGAGCAAGTACAGTTATGTGAATGTAAAGTGACTTATGTGCCGATTAGGAGTGTGTTGCATAAGATTTTGGTTGAACTCTTTAATTGTGCTTATTTGTTCAGATTGTGTTGAGTTAGTATATTCAGGGCATTGCAAAACCAATTGACAAAACCATCTGAAGTGATTAATTCCTTAGTTCAGAGTTTAATTCAAAGCGTCCTGGAATACAGAAAAATGACAGAGAGAAAGAAATGTCATGGACATCAGCGTTAGGCACCACAAAGGGTGTTTTCATAGCTTTTACAATTTCGTACAATTTCAAATCGACAATTAGCAGCGTTTTGGGGATTGAAGCAATAACAAAAGCAGTAGCAATCCTACCAATGCTGCACAATAATACTAACTTGTTAACAACAATGGACTATAATGTAAAAGGAATCGCTTGTAAGAACAAACCCACTACGAATTCAACCATGCAGTTATAAAAAACGTGTTTTGGTTATCTTTTGGTTTAACACTCAACGTTAATGTTTCTGTTGACCACTCTCATCTCTGCTTCCAGCCTCAGCTGTTTTCAGTAGAGAAGACCACCACTGCAGGAAAGACAAGCCTGAACTTTGAGTTTTTAGATCAGCATATAGTAAATGATAAAAGAAGAATGATGGATTGCAAGGATCTATATTAGCTAGTTGCACCAATGGAGACAAATTGATTAGTAGGCTGATACATAATCTGTAACAGAAAACAATTGAATGTAATGATGAGTAAATTATTTAAATCTTGATGGATTCAACTAGTTGTGTACTAAAAATTCTGAAAGCTTTAATGTCGTTCAGATGTAGGAATTGTTTAGCTGCATCTCACTTCCTTCTTTGTTAGGGCAACACGCTCATCTGAATGATAAAAGGTTAATTTAGCCTTGAAAATGAGCTCTGCAGAAGTTATCGTCAGGTAAATGTTGTGATCCCTATTCACCCACGCAGTTGAGCCAGCCAAGGCAGAGCTGCAGCTTCAAACACCTGTCAAATGATCAATTAACTAGGACAACATAGCCAAATCGTTTCTGTATTTACTCAAAGATAATTGGTTTGAATGCAAACACGGTTTTCTGCACACAGAAACTGCCTGATGAAATGACAGCAAATTGACTTCGCACTTAGCCTCGCTGAG